TCCCCGGCGCGCGCGCGGCCTCTGCGAGCCCGGGCCTCGCGGACGTGGGGGGCGCCATAGGGGCCCAGGTTCCCTCTGGGAATAGGGGTGTCCTACGGGGGGGCCCAGGTCCTCTCTAGGAATGGGGGGATCCTGTGGGGGGCCCAGGCCCCTGTGGGAATGGGGAATTCTGTGGGGGGAGCAAGGCCCTCTCTGGGAATGGGGGGATCCTACAGGGGGGCCCAGGTTCCCTCTGGGAATGGGGGATCCTATGGGGGGAGCAAGGTCCTCTCTGGGAATGGGGGATCCTATGGGGGGCCCAGGCCCCTGTGGGAATGGGGAATCCTGTGGGGGGAGCAAGGGCCTCTGGGAATGGGGGTGTCCTGCAGGGGGGCCCAGGTCCCCTCTGGGAATAGAGGATCCTATGGGGGGCCCAGGTCCCTTCTGGGGACCAGGGACCCTATAAGGAGGCTGTGGTCCCCCTGGGTGCGTGGGGGGAGATTCCCTGGGGTCCTGAGTCCCTTGGGGACTTTGAGGGTCTCTCTAAGGGATCTTGGCACCTCTTAAAACTTGGTGGGGGGGTTTTGTGGGGTTTCCCCCCTCACACCTATGGCAATTTATAGAAGGTTCCCTGGGGATCCTGAGCCCTGTGGGAGTGGGGGGGTGGTTTGGGGAGCCCTTTGCTCCTCCAGGGCCTGGGTGGGGGCCTTTGCTCCCGGAGGATGTGGGCAGCTCTATGGAGACAGGCTCCTTGGGGGCTCCCTCGGGACACGGGGGGGCTCTGTGGAGCAGCCCTTGCCACCATGACGAGATGGGGGAGCGTCCAGGTCCCCGGTCACCCCAGGTTGTTCCCGGGTTCGGCAGAGGGTTCCGCGATGCCGTTTACCACCCGCACGCGACAGGAGCTTCCCGTGGCTTCCAAGCACCGGCCGTGCAGGGGCGGGCAGGGGGCCAGGGAGATGCTCCCGAGCCGAGTCTGCTCGGGGGATACTGRTGCTGTAGCTCCGGGTCACCCCTGCTGGAGCCCCACATCCCTCGGGAATGAGGGGCTCCCCCGGCGCCGCTGAGCTTGGGACTCGCCTTSCTGGGCTCACCTGCCGCACGCGGCGTTTCTCTTTCCCCCGTGCCAGACGCGACCGTGTACGTGGGCGGCCTGGACGAGAAGGTGAGCGAGCCGCTGCTATGGGAGCTCTTCCTGCAGGCGGGACCCGTCGTCAACACCCACATGCCCAAGGACCGAGTCACCGGCCAGCACCAAGGTGGGACGCCGGACCTCCCTCCCCGCACGGGCTGGCGAGGGAAATACGTGGAAAGGGGGTGATCAGAGYGGGGTTATTGCGGGAGGAAGGGCGAGGAGGGGTGATGTCCTGGTGCCTCGTGGCAGTGCTGTTGTCCCCGGGATGGATCCGGGAGCTGTGGGCGATGGTGGGTGCAGCACGGGCCGCGCACAGCGGAGCGGCGGGTCTGTCGCGCCACCAGGCTCTGCTCGGGGCTCGTTGCAGGCTATGGCTTCGTGGAGTTCCTCAGCGAGGAGGACGCCGATTACGCCATTAAGATCATGAACATGATCAAGCTGTACGGGAAGCCCATCCGGGTGAACAAGGCCTCCGCCCACAACAAGAACCTGGACGTGGGGGCCAACATCTTCATCGGCAACCTGGACCCCGAGATCGACGAGAAGCTGCTGTACGACACGTTCAGCGCCTTCGGCGTCATCCTGCAGACGCCCAAGATCATGCGAGACCCCGACACGGGCAACTCCAAGGGCTACGCGTTCATCAACTTCGCCAGCTTCGACGCCTCCGAYGCCGCCATCGAGGCCATGAACGGACAGTACCTGTGCAACAGGCCCATCACCGTCTCGTACGCCTTCAAGAAGGACTCCAAGGGCGAGCGGCACGGCTCGGCGGCTGAGCGCCTGCTGGCCGCGCAGAACCCGCTCTCGCAGGCCGACCGGCCCCACCAGCTCTTTGCCGACGCTCCTCCTCCGCCCTCCATCCCTACGCCCGTGGTCACGTCCCTGGGACCCGGCGTCACCCCTCCAGGTGGGTTCCTCTCCCGGGGCTGCCTGCTGGTTGCTCCCACGGGATCGCTTTGCTGGAGCTGGCRGCGCTTCAAGCGGCAGGACGCCCGGGCCCCAGCCGTGGTGCTGTGGCCGGAGCTGCAGGGCTGCCTTGTGCCGTGCTGCCGTGTGTCACATCTGGGTGCTCCGCGTGTCACCGTTGCCCGGCGCTTCCCTTGGGGCAGCGGGAAGCCCTCCGCGAGCTGCCGGCTTCGCTGGGAGCCCCAGGAAACCGTCCTCCTTCCCGCCATCCCCACAGCAGGGTCACCTGGAGCCGCCCCGGCTCTGGCACAGGCTTCMAGGGCCATGATCCGCCTGCTGGGTTTCCTCATTTCCCCTCGCTTGCCCAGGAGGCCTCCGCTCTTTTAGGGGCGGGTTTCGGTGCTCCCTGCCCTCCTCAGCCCCGCTCCGTGTGTCTCCCGCAGGCCTGCCGCCGCCGGGCTCCTTCCCGCCGCCGGTGCCGCCGCCCGGTGCCCTGCCGCCCGGGATGCCGCCCGCCATGCCGCCCCCGCCCATGCCACCGGGCGCCGGCGCCCCCGGCCCCCCCGGCGGGGCCGCCCCCGGCGCGGGGCACCCCCCGCACCCCCATCCCTTCCCGCCGGGCGGGATGCACCATCCAGGTAAGCAGCGTCGCTTGCGGGAAAACAAACTTCTCTCCTGCGTCTGCCGCGTGGGTCGGGGCAGACCGCCGCCTCCGGCTTCTTCTCTGATTCTCCGTCTGGGAAATGGGAGGAGATTCCGTTTCGTGCCAGGCACTGAGTGCGGGATTATTGGGATGGGGCAGGAAGGCAGCATCGGAGCCCCTTGGTGCCGTGTTCGTGTCTCCTGCCTGCGTGGGCGCCCCAGGCTCCGCAGCACAGGGGGATCCTGCTGGTCGCTCGCCCTCCCGCGAGGAGAGCAGCAGCGTCTGCTTGCTGGGATGCTCTCCTGTCCTGCAACGTGCACAAAATCCCCGGCACGGGGCCCAGCGGGATTTCTGAGGCACCCTGGCGCTTTGGGAGAGCCCGGGCAAGAGGCGCCCAGGCAGCTCGGGCATTGCCCTCATGCAGGGGAGGCAGAGACCATGGCAGTGCCSGGGCAGCCGCAGCGCCCGCTTTTTGGGTCTCCAGAGCACTGGAAAGATGAGGATGAGACTCCGAGTTGCTGTTGTTTTTCCCTGGTGTAAATTAATACGTTAAGTGTGAACCTTCTTGGTACATTCTGCCGCTCTGCTGAGCGGGAGCTAAATGAAGACACGAGAACAAAATGTTTCTTTGATATCTTTCCATTTTTGRCCCTGTAGTACTGGGGAATGAGCAGTGTATACGTCTAGACTGTGATTCCAAATTCAAAAATGAAGTGAAATTTGCATTAATTTAGGGAAAAAAACCATCCTGGTTTAATATACATATGCATGTGTAATCCTGCGTGCTCTGGAACGGGCCAGGGTTGAGCGTCGCYGGGCGCTCGCGGCGCTGCCTGATTAGGGAGCTTTGTCGGAGTGGCTCTGGCCGGTGAGTGCCCAGATGGCTGCTGCTGTCCCTGATCTCGGGCTGCCTTTGGAGAAGCCAATTACCTTGGGAAGCGGGAGCACCTCCCCTGGGGGCTGCACCCGGCGCTCGCCTTCCCCTGAAGGAGAAAAGAGGCTGTTTGCTAAGAGAGACAASGATGAGGGGGGAGAGGTGGCTTGGGAGGGACCCCTGAGGCCTCGCTCCGACCTTCCWGCGGCAGAGCCAGCTCCAAAGGTTGCTCTGCTCAGCCTTCCCCAGGATCTTTGAGGATGCTCCCAGGTCCCTGTATGCTCTCCTGGATTTTYCCCCCTCTTCCCAAGTCGCCATTCCCACATTGCAGGTTATTCCTGCCACAGGAACGAGCGGCAAGTGGTTCCCGGCTCCGTTCGTGCCCTTTCCGCGCGCGGCGCGGCCGGAGCCGCCCACACGTGGATGTCACTGACCGCTTCCTCCCGCAGGGCTGCCCCCCATGCAAGTGCACCACGGGCCGCCCGGCATGGGCCAGCACCACCCGGGGCCCCCCGGCTCGGGGGGCCAGCCCCCGCCGCGCCCGCCGCCCGGCATGCCGCATCCCGGCCCCCCGCCCATGGGAATGCCGCCCCGAGGACCTCATTTCGGCTCGCCCATGGGTAAGTGGCGGCAACGTTCTCCTTCGCTTGGAGCGTGCGCTTCACGTAGTGCTTCGGACCTTAGCTCTGGAGCTAGGGCGTTGCTSCGGGTCCCCGCACCTTCCCTCTGCCCTGGCTCCGCGTGGGGACGGGGATGAGAAGGTGACGCTGCAGCCTCCGCCTGGGGAGGTGCCTGGAAGCAAGACCTGGCCGTGCGGAGCGGCCGAGCAGGGACCCCGGGGGTGTCCTCGCGCTCACTGTCACCKGGGACCTGGCCCATGGGGGGACCTGGCGGGCAGAGGGGACACGAGGGACAGCCTCGACCCTGGGTGGCCCTGCCGCCCGCCTGCCTCGCTCACAGGGGCCGTGGGAGGGACGGGGTGGTGAAACCCACCTGGGTGGCGCTGCCGTTGTCCCTGCGCTGGGGACAGCGCCGTGCTGGCCCCGGGGGCGTTTGCTGACGCGTGTGCTCTGTCCCCGCAGGTCACCCCGGCCCCATGCCGCACCACGGCATGCGCGGCCCTCCGCCGCTGATGCCCCCCCACGGCTACAACGGGCCCCCTCGCCCCCCGCCCTACGGCTACCAGAGGGTGCCCCTGCCCCCCCGGCCGGCGCAGCGGCCCCCCGGGGTGCCGCCCCGCGGGCCCCTCAGGGGCCCCCTGCCCTAAATGCGGCGCTGGCGACACCCCCTCCCTGCGGGGGGGCTGCGCTCTGTGCCCCCAGGCTCCCCCTGCCCCTTGGGCTGATGCAGCCAAGGGGCCCGTTTGGGTCCATCCCCGTCACACCGCCCTCTTGTTTTTCCTCTTCTCCCCCTTTTTTTCCCCAATTCTTTTTACAGCTTTCATTTTGACTRTTTTTCCCCCTTCCCTCCTTTTATCTCTGACTTGGAAGATTTTATTTTGTTTTTTTCCAAGGCGATTTTAACAGGATTTTTTTTTTCTATGTAAAGCAGCGATCAGCCAGTTACAAATAAAGCGTTTTAGAAAGGGGCACTTTCCCCTGAGGTTGGGAGGAGGCTCTGCCTGTTTGTGATCATAGCGCCGACGCGTCGCCGTCGCTCCTGCCCCGGGGCCGTTCCCGGGGCCGTTCCCGGCACGTGCAGCTGTCGGTAACCCCGGGGCAGCGACGTTTGAGTTCACGGGTCGCGCTGGCGGAAGGAGAGGAGCAGCAGGTTGGCCCGCGCGGTGTGTCTGTCCGCGTTCCCTGCGCTCTTGCCAGCGCCATCCTGCCTTTCCTAATGAATTCAGTGTCTTTGTGCCAGCAAGAGCGGGAATGGGAGGTGTGAAAGCAGAGGGAACGTTTCCCACCTCGCGCACGGCGGGGAGGTGGGAGCCCGGCCCTACCGRAGCGCCTTGCAGGGAGGCAGAGGAGACAGCAGGAGACGCGCAGCTTTAAACACGTGAAATCGGGGCTGTAAAAACAGAAATTCCAAGTGTTTCCATGTGTCTGGTTTCCCGGAGCTCTGGTTTGTGGCTTCATGGAAGAACCCACGTATCTGAAGARCCTTGGGGGTCTCCCAACCCAGCACTGCTCCTGCGCAAGCTCTTTCGTCTGTGTTTCTTCAGTGCTCTGCTCACGTTATTTTCAGGCTCTGTTACTCTTCCCTGTTTTATTTCTGTTTTGCTCTAATTTCCCTCAGCCAAAACTCACCTTTAGCTCCAATGCCTTTTTCCTTGGGGACCAGGGGAGGGGAAAAGGTTCTGCATCTTCCTCTGGGTCGTTGTGGGGCTGCCTGGTAAGTGCCTGGGAGGGCCGTGGAAATTGCGGGGCTGCTCGGGGCAGTAGCAGCTGACGGGGCAGCGCAGGGTGCCCCGCGCAGGGTGCCCTGCGCAGGGTGCCCCGCGCAGGGTGCACCACGCTGGGGCTGAGCGAGCGCGTGGCCTCCGAGGCAGCCACGACCTGGAGGAGCTCCCTGCTTCCAGCAGCTGCCGTGTAATTAGATGTAAAGGTTGCAATAAAAGCAGTATTTAGGTGATCCTTGGCACTAACCACTGCTGATAGTTGATGCGAGAGCAGAGACTGGGACTCCCGGGGGCAGCAGAGCGGAGCGGCACCCACGGTTAAAGCGGAGCAGAGCCGGAGCGGTGCTGGGCTCGGAGCGGCACCCACGGTTAAAGCGGAGCAGAGCCGGAGCGGTGCTGGGCTCGGAGCGGCACTCGCGGTTAAAGCGGAGCAGACCCGGAGCGGTGCTGGGCTCGGAGCGGCGCCCATGGTTAAAGCGGAGCAGACCCGGAGCGGTGGCCATGGACGAGGCGCCCGATCCCTGCAGGCCGGTTCCGCTGCTGCTCCGGCCAGGTGCCCTTGCGAGCCCAGGCGGCCCTTTCCCTATGGAAAGGAGCACGTAGGAGCAAGCAGCTGAGGAAGGGGGGGCTGCCGGGAGGCCGGGGTGCCCAAATCCCTCCTCCGGCCGCGGTGGGAGGGCTGGTGCCATTCGGAGCAGCCGGAGCGGTGGGAAGGGGCTGCTGCTCCTTCCGTGCAGCGCCTGCTCTGCTCCGCTCCGCTCACAACAGCTCCATCTGCATCCCGAGCCGCCTCCTTCCGGCATCTCGCTGCGCGCCGGGCAAGCGCTGCCGGGGCCGCCGCAGCCGGGGCCTTCGCTGCCCTTCTGGACTCAATTTCCCGGCCTTGGAAAGGCTGCTGCGAGCTGGCACGTGCGGCGAGGCGCCGGAGCCCTTGGAGCAGCCGCCACGGATTCCTCCTGCCCCTTTCCCGCAGGACGGCGGGGGACACACGGGGCTCCCGGGATCGGGGTGGAGGGATGGGGTGTTGGGGCTGGGGCTCCTCGCGGTGCCCGGAGCTGCCGGCGCTTCCCGTGCCCTATCCGTGTCCCTGCCAGCTCGCGTTTGGCTCCGCTCGCGCGCGCCCGGCCCGCGGCCGCCGCGGGGGGACACGGGGGCTGACGCTGCGGCACATGAGTCACGAGCCCCGAGGAAGCGGCGCTCACCAGCCCGGCCGGGGCCAATGAGGCTCCGAGTGGCGCCTGGGCCCCCGGAGYGTCGCTTCCCGGGAGCCCTCCGGCCCCGGATCCGCTGTCGCAGTGGGAACAGGGAGATTTTTGGGGTGGGAGTAGGGGTGTTTTCAGCTCCATGCGCCCTTTTAGGGACTTCTTTCCAACAGGGTTCAGCTGTTTGGCAGCTTCCACACTCATCATTCCGCCTCGGGGCTGCTCCCACCGTTTGCCCCGATGTGGGACCCAATGTTCCGCTGCGGCACCATCAATGCATCCAGCCGCCCTTTCCCTGTCCTTATCCCAGCCTTGAGCCACGTAGGTGCCTCTGCTCCCCCTCATCCCGTAAAGGGATGAGCCGTCCTGGTGGCTGAGCCCAGCTCAGCTCATTGCATGGGGGCAGCGCTCCCTGCCTAGCAAGGAGAGCGCCCTGGACCCTTCCTCCAGGATCCTTCCCTTTCCAGCCCCTCCTGCCTCCTTTCCTTGGTGGAATGGGTCCCTYGGCAGGGCCAGGAGGCAGCAGGGGGGGTTCAAAGCAGGATCCTGTGCATGGGGGCTCGACAGGGCAGCTCGGAGCCCCTCTGAGGATGCAGTTTTTCCTGCTCCTGTTCTGGACCCGAATCCCGCAGGATCCAGCGCAGCCGCCTCCAGGCGCCTTGGCCACTGGCCCAGGGGCTTGGCCAAGGCTGGGGCCAACCAGCCCGTAGCCCAACTTGCCTCCCTGCCGCGGCCACCCCAAAAAGCATCAGGCCCATCGGGCTCATCCCGCACCGGCAGAAACGAGATGGGGGGGCCGATGCCGCCGCATCCACATTCTCCCCCCAAGCCCGCCGTCGCTGCCCTCCTTCCCTGGGGAATCATCCTCGGCACGGGAAGCCCGRCGGGAGCTTCCCGCAGGTGCAAGCAGCCGGGGGGGTCGCCTCGCCTTCCCGCGGGCTCGGCGGAGCCCCCGGCCCGCGTCCCCCCCGCCCGCCGCCTGTCGCACAGCCCTCCCCGCCGCCTCCCTTGCCGGGCTGCTGCAATGGACTCTCCCAGCGCGCGGCGGCGGCTGCGGCGCTAGCGCCGGCTCTGGTACCCGCCAGCTATTTCCTGCCCGTATCCCTGCCGGAGCATCCTCGGCGCCCGCCAGGGCCGGAGCGGGCRAGGGCCGGGGCAGGTAAGGGAGCGCGGCGGCTGCTTTGGGACCGCGGATCCCCCCTCTCCTTTCCGCACTGCTTTGGTTAGCATCCTGCCAGGCTGACGGATGAGGGGTTCGGCTTTTCCTTTTCCACCCGGTGTGGCCATTTTGTCCTGAAAATCCTTGCCTTTTGCTTAGCTCCGTCTTTTCTATTTTTCTCTTTTCCTTCCTCGCCGCCGGCAGGCGCACGGGCTTCAGCCTCCCGACATCGCTCCCGCGCTCTCCCCTCCCGCTGCCTCGCGAGCAGGGATCTCTGCTGCCGGAGATGCCAGATCCATGCCTGGGGGAGATGGCTCTGTAGCCGGGGGGGGTTTTGGGGAGCAACGCAGCCCAGCAGCAAGGAGCAGGGTGGGGGGCAGCCGATGACCTTGGATATGGGGGGGCTTTAAAATTCTGCTCCCACTAGCCAGGGGCTGCGGGGCGGCCGTGCCAGGGGTGCCGAGGTGCAAGGCTGGTGGGGGGCTCAGTGCTGGGGGGAACAGAGCCCCGTAACCTTGGCCGCTGCCTGCTCAGGCTGCGGGGAAGCGTCCGTGCGGCACCGGGCGCCTGCCTGCGGGGCTGTCTATTTTTGGGGCTGTTTTCCTTTTCTTTGGCTTCCTCACAAGATGCACGCCTGGGTGCAGGAATTGCTGCGCGGAGGCTCAGCCTCGCCAAGCTGTGACCTTGCTGTGAGCACTGCAGCCCCTCTCCCCCAGAGCTCCGGCCCCCTCTTTCCTCCTCTCTTCTCCCGCCATGCAGAAACATCCCGGGAAGCGGGATCGCTCCCTCCGGCATGGCTGCGGAGGGAAGCACCGCAGCGAGCCGGAGACCCGGCTGCAGCGCCATGACCTTGTCGGGGGGTGCAGGCCCCGGCTCAGCTCCTTGCCGGAGCCTCGGCTGCCTCCGGGTTTTCCATGGAGGAGGGAAGCGCTGGGAGGAGACGGCAGCAGTTGCGTCGGTTCCTTGACGCGGCTCCCTGGCAGCCACTTGGGTTCATTCAGGAATCGGCTGCGTTGAACCCACTGCAGWGGGGGAGACGGATGGACAGACGGATGCAGAGGCGCGTGCTGGGGGACGGGGGTCCCCAGCACCGCGCACGGAGCTGGCGTGTGCTCCGCGTGCCCGGGCAGAGCGCTGCCGGCGCCGCCTCGGCACGATTGGAAGGGCTAATTTTAACTCACTGCCGAGCCCTGTCCCTGCTCCCAGGGGATGGGGGGGCAGTGATGGCTGTGTCCCTTTTTCAGCCATTGGTGTGCTGTGCTGGCAGCAATAAAAATATCTTTTTTTGGGGTGGATTGGGGAAGCAGACGTTGCATTCATCCCTTCCACGGCACGTTCAGGATCTGCTCTTTGGCTTCTGCTGGTCCATCCATGTCACGAGCTGCGGTGCCTCTACGGGCTCCGGCGTGCGGCTCCTGCCTGGGAGGCAGCTCCGTGGGTCGGGGGCAGCGGAACGGACCCGGGGTCCCTTCCCAAGATCCCAGCCTGGCTGAGGGGGGAGCTGGAAGATGCTACCCAGAGATGGGAGCCTCTGAGGCTCATCCCAAGACGCGTTTCCCTTCCTTGAAGGACAGGCCATGGGCGGTCATGGTCACTCACCCCCTCTCCACACTGGGAGGCTGGCAGCGAGGCAAGGAGCAAAATCCACTCGGAGACAGGTCCCTGGCACCCACCTCACTGGCACTGGGGATCCGGGCACCACGGGYGCTGCAGCCGCCTGCCTGTGTGACCTTCGCGAGCCCTGGCCTTAAGGAGAGTCACTGCAGCCCCCCACTCAGCTCCATCTGCRGTGGCACCCCCAGTGTGAGCCTTGTCCCTGTGCTGGGCTGGGGGGCTCCGTCCCGCGCTTCCCGGGAACACGGGGGATGTCGGCGTCAGGCGGCTGGCCGGGTTCTTGGCGGTGACTCACTCACAGCCTGGGTGAAACAACCAGGGGAAGCGCTGCCTTGTGGCCTGGCAGCCCTGTCCCCCAGGGCTGGTGGCCCTGGGACATCAGCTCGMGTGGCCCTCGGCTCTTGTGGGATTCTCCTGGATGGACCACGTGGGATGGGGCTGAAGGCCGTTGTGGTGGCCGGAGGGCCCCTGGGTCCCTTTGCATGGGTGTCCCCAGGCCCTCACTGTGAGCAGGGAGCTGCCGTGCCAGGGTCGGGTGCCCTGGGGTGAGCAGAGCTGTGCTGGGAGCGTCCCCAGGGTCCCTGTCCCCATGTCCCCGGTCCCTGTGTCCCTGTGTCCCTGTCCTTGGGTCCCTGTGTCCCCACCAGGCTGCCCCGGCCCTGACATTGGGGGGGGAATACACCTGTCTGGCCACACCCCCTGAATCTCATTGGTTGAGCAGTTGGGCCTCACCCCCCCAGCCCCATTGATGCCAGTGCCTTGGCCACGCCCCCTACAGCTCATTGGCTGGTGGCCTGTCCCCACCCTCCTGGCCCCATTGAGGAGAATTGAGCRGCCCCTCGCCAATGGGCCTGGGGGCCGTCACTGGAGCAGGGGTGGCCCTGGGGACCCTGGGTGGCCCTGGGCACCCTCGGCCRACCCTGCCAGTGGCCTCCATGTCCTCCGCCCTGGGACAGCCTGCTCRTACTGGGACCGGTGGCTCTGGTGGGCACTGGGTGCTAATGGGAGCCCCGCTGTGGGTTTGCAAGGGAGGTCTGGCCTCCGATGCCCTTCCTTGAGGGCCCCTGGGGTGCTGGAGCCAACYGGTGTGACTGTCCCCTCCTCAGCGGAGTGGCAGTGCTGGCCGGCGGGGCAGACACAGCGGTCCCAGCCCCGGCGTCTTTCGGCTCCTCTTGCCCATCTGTTCATCTGGGCTGATCTGTTCCGCTCTCACGCGCATCGAAGCCGCCTCTCTCCTGCTGCGCTCCCTTCTTGCACCGAGATTTCTATATTTTCCTCCCAACCCCGAAGTGCTGATGAAGTGTGTGGTCTCACAGCCTGCGTGTCACTCCCTCCTAGCAGAAGCCCTGGCCTTAACTGGGTTTGACACAGGGGCCGATGCCTCAAAGATACGAAGTGCCAGTGTTTTTTGGCTCCAGTAGAGAGCTGGGGAAAAGCGACAGGGACAGACAAACAAGCACCATAGCTTGAGCTGCAAACAAGCACCATAGCTTGAGCTGAACCACAGTAGTAGACAGTGGAGAATCTTCCTGATGGGCTTGAAGCAGTGGACTTGGCTGCCTTAATCTTACTGAAATATAAGTCTCTAATTGTCTCATCATCTGAATGAGCAGAGAGGGGCACCTGTGCACGGCCGGAGCGGAGCTCGGGCCGGGGGGCCCTTTCCCGACCCCCTAAACCGCAGCTGTTTKTGTCTGGGCTCCTGCAGGTCTGGGCCGGCACCCGAGGCCCGTGGCCACCTCTGCCCGTGCCAAGCGGATGGGTAGCGCTCCAGCCCGGCCTCTCACATCCCGCCGGAGACCTGCAGCCGCCCCCAGCGCCCGCGCTTGAAGCCGCCAGGGCAGAACCCCCAAACCAAGGCRCACTCGTCCCTCCTGTGGCACCCCCCGGGGCTGAACCGACGAGCGGGCACCATGGATGAGAGCTTCCGAGACCGGACGGCCTTCATCCGCGGCGCGAAGGACATCGCCAAGGAGGTGAAGAAGCATGCGGCCAAGAAGGTGAGCAAGGGCATGGACCGCATGCAGGACGAGTACACCAAGCGCTCCTACTCGCGCTTCGAGGAGGAGGACGACGACGAAGACTACGCGCCGCAGGACGGCTACTACCGGGGCGGCGAGGCGGCCAACGAGGAGGAAGGCGCTTCCAGTGATGCCACCGAGGGCCACGACGAGGAGGACGAGATCTACGAGGGCGAGTACCAGGGCATCCCGCGCAACGAGTCGCTGAAGGCCGGCGAGCGCCTGGGCAGCGAGGCGGCAGCCGGYGGAGCCTTCGGCGCCTTCGACGATGCCGAGGGCCAGCGGCGGAAGGACAAGGAGGAGCTGGCGCAGCAGTACGAGCTCATCCTGCAGGAGTGCGGCCACGGCCGCTTCCAGTGGACCCTCTACTTCGTCCTGGGACTGGCCCTCATGGCCGACGGCGTCGAGGTCTTCGTGGTGGGCTTCGTGCTGCCCAGTGCCGAGAAGGACATGTGCCTCTCCGACTCCAACAAGGGGATGCTGGGTGAGCCGGGCTGCGCGGGACGCCGGGGACATGGGGGACATGGAGATGTGAGGGATGGAGGGGTGAGGGGATGTGGAATAGGGAATAGGGAGGTGCATAGGGATGCTGGGATAATGGGGGGTACTGGGATGTGTGGGGGGACGTGAGAGGATGTGAGGGGACATAGAGGTAAGGGAGGACAGGAGGGGACAGGGGGAGGTGTAAAGGGACATGAGGGGACGTACAAGTTATGGAGGGGACAGAGGAAGACRTGGGGGGACAGGGAGGGAGAGAGGAGCCCCTCAGCACCTCCATCCCCCGCTGAGTGGGAAAGGGGCCCGGGCGTCCTGCCTCCCTGCCCTCCGAAGAGCTGCGGGCGCCGGGCGGGCGCGGGGAGCCCGTGTGACGGCGCTGTCCCCCGCTCCGCCAGGGCTCATCGTGTACCTGGGCATGATGGTGGGCGCCTTCCTGTGGGGCGGCCTGGCCGACCGGCTGGGGCGACGGCAGTGCCTGCTCATCTCCCTCTCCGTCAACAGCGTCTTCGCCTTCTTCTCCTCCTTCGTCCAGGGCTACGGCACCTTCCTCTTCTGCAGGCTGCTCTCGGGTGTGGGGTAAGGGGAGGGGGGCCAGGGGGCCCAGGTGTCCGGAGCACCTCAAGGCCACCAAGCTGATGCCCGCTCTGTCCCCAGCATTGGCGGCTCCATCCCCATTGTCTTCTCCTACTTCTCCGAGTTCCTGGCGCAGGAGAAGCGCGGGGAGCACCTGAGCTGGCTCTGCATGTTCTGGATGATTGGTGGCATCTACGCGTCCGCCATGGCCTGGGCCATCATCCCCCACTACGGTAAGGGCTGGCTGAGACAAAGTGGTGAGTGGAGTGAGTTTGCAGGGTCTCAGTGCGGTGCAGTGAGTTTGCAGGGTCTCAGCGCAGCAGTGGCACAAGATTGCCAAGTCTTGGCGATGTGGAGCAAGGTTGCCAGGTCTCAGCATGGTGAGGACTCCCTGCCACGTCCACTCCCTCCCTTTCCGCGGCAGGTTGGAGCTTCCAGATGGGCTCTGCGTACCAGTTCCACAGCTGGCGCGTCTTCGTGCTGGTGTGCGCCTTCCCCTCGGTGTTCGCCATCGGGGCGCTCACCACGATGCCCGAGAGCCCCCGCTTCTTCCTGGAGGTGAGCGGCTGCCCCCGGGCCCGGCAGAGCCGCGTGCTGCCCGGGTGCTGAGCCCGGGTGCTGAGCCCGGGTGCTGAGCCCCGCTCTGCCCGCAGAACGGCAAGCACGACGAGGCCTGGATGGTGCTCAAGCAGGTCCACGACACCAACATGAGGGCCAAGGGCCACCCCGAGAGGGTCTTTTCGGTAAGAGCCCCCCCCCGGCTGGGCTGAGCCTAGAGCTGCTKTGGGGCCCCTGGCACCCAGGTGGAGGGGACACTACGACTGGCACAACCCAGGCAGCAGGAGGGGGGTCTCTCTGTGCCCCTTCCCTGGGCAAATCCCCCGCTGTGGAAAACCTCAGCTTCCCGGGTGCGGAAACTGAGGCAGGTGATGGAACTGGCCCTAAGGTGCTGCTGCCCGAGCTGTCCCTGTGCCCCCCCAGGTGACCCACATCAAGACCATCAAGCGGGAGGATGAGCTCATCGAGATCCAGGCGGACACGGGCACGTGGTACCGCCGCTGGCTGGTGCGCTTCCTCAACCTGTCGCAGCAGGTGAGCGCGGACGGGACCGTCCCCTCGTGTCCCATCCCGTCCCATGTCCCTGACCCCGCCGGCTCCCACCACCYCTCGCCCTGCCCTAGGTGTGGAGCAACTTCCAGCAGTGCTTYGCGCCCGAGTACCGCCGCGTGACGCTCATGATGATGGCCGTGTGGTTCACCATGTCCTTCAGGTGGGGCCGGGGGGTCCCTGCTGCRGCGGGGAGATGCCCAGGGGCGGTTCTGGGGGGGCTTCATGACGTTCCCGCCGCTGCCGCAGTTACTACGGGCTCACGGTTTGGTTCCCGGACATGATCAAGCACCTGCAGAGCATCGAGTACGCGTCRCGCACCAAGCTCTTCACGCGCGAGAAGGTCCGGCACTTCACCTTCAACTTCACCCTGGAGAACCAGATCCACCAGAACGGCGAGTACTTCAACGACAAGTGCGTGTCCGGCGGGGCAGGATGGGGCTGAGGCCCGGCGCGCTCRCTGCATGGGTGGGCAGTGGCTCAGTGCCGCGCTCGGCAGGTTCATCGGCCTCAAGATGAAGTCGGTGATCTTTGAGGACTCGCTCTTTGAGGAGTGCTACTTCGAGGACATCACCTCAAGCAACACCTTCTTCAAGAACTGCACCTTCATCTCCACCGTCTTCTACAACACAGGTCCCGCCGGGTGCCACGTGTCCCCCTCCCCGGTCCCACCARCCCCTTCACCCGCTCACAGCCCCTTCTCCCCTTCCCAAACTCCCGTCCCCATGGCAGATCTCTTCGAGTACAAGTTCATCGAGAGCCGGGTGCTCAACAGCACCTTCCTGCACAACAAGGAGGGCTGCCAGCTGGACTTCAGTGACGACAACAACGCCTACATGATCTACTTCGTGAGCTTCCTGGGCACCCTGGCCGTGCTGCCGGGCAACATCGTCTCGGCCCTGCTCATGGACAAGATCGGCCGCCTCCGCATGCTGGGTGGGCACCGCGGTTTTCCTGGATTTGCCTCTTTTCTTGCCCCCAAGCAGTGTTGGCGATGGCGGGACTCGAACCGGCGGCAGCAGGACCGGCCCCCGGCGCCGCCGGGACGTTCGAGCCCTGAGCCCGCTCCCGGTGTCTCCGCAGCCGGCTCCAGCGTCATGTCCTGCGTGAGCTGCTTCTTCCTCTCCTTCGGCAACAGCGAGTCAGCCATGATCGCCCTGCTCTGCCTCTTCGGCGGCGTCAGCATTGCCTCCTGGAACGCCCTCGACGTGCTCACCGTGGAGCTCTACCCCTCCGACAAGCGGTAACGCCGCCCGGACGCCTGGGCCCCTCCTTGGGCCGGCACGCTCTGGGTTCGCCCCTTGCAAAAGCAGGACCCAGGCGGCCGGGTGGCATGGGGGGGGAYGGCGACGGGGCTCCTCTCTGCCCGCAGGACGACGGCGTTCGGCTTCCTCAACGCGCTCTGCAAGCTGGCGGCCGTGCTGGGCATCAGCATCTTCACGTCCTTCGTGGGCATCACCAAGGCGGTGCCCATCCTGCTGGCCTCGGCCGCGCTCGCCCTCGGCAGCTCCCTCGCCTTGAAACTGCCCGAGACGCGGGGCCAAGTGCTGCAGTGAGGGGCACGGGGGGGGGACCCCCCGGCCTCTCCCCGCTCGTCTCCCCCTTCCCCCGGGCAAGGGAGGGGGATTAGTCTCGTTTAGACACTGTGAACCGTCTTCTTGGAGCATTTGGGATATATATATACATATATATTTTTATTTTATTTTGTTTTTCCTTTGGTTTGCACTTCCCCCCCACCCTCGCCTTCCCTTTGCCTCCCTCCCTCCCCGTTTCTTTTCTCGGTGTCATCGCGTATCAGAGTATCTGCTCGCTCGGTGAGGGGGACGCGGCGAGGAGGATGAGGAGGAGGAGGAAGGGTCTGGCCCCAGTGCAGGGTGATGTGGGAGCAGGTGGGAGCAGGGCCAGTGCTTTGGGGGGGCGCTCAAAGTGAGCTCTGTGTTAGAGCTGCCCCTGCAGCCAGGAGAAGCAGGGGTGGCCCCTCAGCATGCGGAGCACCCTGGGGTGCGCGGCAGCTGGGGGGTGCATTGCTGTGGCGTGCATGGCACTCGGGGTGCGAGCACTTTTGGGGAGGGTGCACTGGTTTGCATGGCACCCTGGGGGTGCATGATRCAGTGCGTGGCACCCTGGGGTGCATGATGCTATGGGGCACATGGCACTTTGGCGTGCATGGTACCTTGGGGGGTGCAAAAGGCTCCTTGGGGGGCACCACAGGCTGCAAAATGCCTTGGTGTGCACGGCACCTTAGGGTGCACCATGGTGCACAGACATGTGGCAGAGGGGACATCCTGGCACCTCCCTGCGGTGCCCACACCCCGGGGTGATGCCAGGGGCTCCTCTGCAGCTACAGATTCGTTAATGTAATTAGGGTCCTGTGGTTATTAAGCTGGTGAGGCCCCAGCCACCACCTTTACCCAGGGGGCTGGGTTTGCGGGTCTGTTCTGAAGGTGCAAACCCCCTGGCTGGGTGCAAAGCCCCTGGTGAGGGCGCAAAGCCCCGGCGTGCGGGGGGCCGGGCTGGAGCGTGCGGATCAGGGAGCCGCCGCTCGCTCCCCGACCCGCCCGTTATTTTTCTACGTCTTTTTAAAGGCTTTTCTTTCCTAGGCTTTTCCAGTGGATGCAATAGTCGGAACCGGCGCAGGCGGGTGCGCGGCCGGAGCCGGGGCGGTTTGCGGGGGGGGGACACGAGCGTTTCCCCCGCCTGCTCCGCTCACCTGGAGCACAAACCCAAAACCAGCAGCGGTTGCAAAGCACAACGAGGCGCCCCGACCCGYGGCTCGATGCAAAGGCGCTGGGGAGCCGCCGGCCGCGAGCTGCCCCGGCCGAGCGAGCAGACGCGGGGCCGGCGGCGAGGGCGAGCGCCCGACGAGCTTCATCTCTCCCGCGTCCCCCTCCTCCTCCTCCTCTTCCCTCCTCCTCCTCCGCCCTTCGGTGTCGCTGGTCTTTCTAAGAGAACATGCGTAGTTCTGTCTGTATGCAGTCGTGCCGTGCTGTAGTTTTTAGATGTTTGTAAAGAATTAAAAAACGAGAAAAAAACACAAAAACACACCACAACCCCCCCGCCCCCAGCCAACCCTCCCCTGTGTACGGAAAGAAAAACGACAAAAAAAAAAAAAAAGCGTTAATGATCCGAGCGGCCTCTGAGCGGTGCGTTTTGTCCAGGGAGGGCGAGCCGTTTATTGGGAAGTTCAGAAGGAGAAACGGTCCAAAACCACGGGAGAAAAGGAACGGGTCGTGGCGATGCAGCAGGCGCCCCGACGCCGGGGCGAGGGGCTGCGGGAAGCATCAGGAGGCTCCCGGCGCGGYGCTCAGCGGCTCCGCTCCGCGGTGCTCGCGCCGGGAGCCCCCCAGGCAGGCGGGCCGGGGCGGCACGGCGGGGTCGTCGAGCCACTGCTGGGGCGTGCGGGCCACGATGGCCAGGGCGTGCAGGGGCCCGGCGAGCTCGGCGCRCAGCGCGGCGTGCACCAGGCGGTGCCGCTGCAGCAGCGGCAGCCCCCCGAAGCGCTCGCTCACCACCACCACGGCGAAGTGGCTCTCGGCGCCGGGGGGGCCCGCGTGCCGGTGGCTCTCGTTCACCACTTGCAGGTGAGTCGGCTCCAGGGCCGCCTGCAGCTTGGTGCGGATGGCCCGGGCCACCGGGCCCTCGGCCATGGCGCAGCCCCGACGCGCCGCCGTCGCCGCTGTCACCGCCGCTGTCACCGCTGCTGTCACCCTGCGGCTCCGCAGCATCCGGCAGCACCCAGGACCTGCAAGCAAGGGGGTGCAGCAGTGAAGTTGGGTGACAGACCCCCCCTCATATTAGATGGGGGTACAGGGTGTTTTACGGGGCAGTGTGGGATATTAGGGTTCCATCTGAGCCAGGCATATAGGTGTGCAATGCAGCGGGGTGACACCAAAGCTACCCCCCCACGCACACGTGTGCAATGCAGCGGGGTGACACCAAACCTACTCCCCCCCACACACAGATTCATTAACGTAATTAGGGTCCTGTGGTTATTAAGCTGGTGAGGCCATGGCCATCACCTTTACCCAGTGGGTTGGGTTCATGTGTGCAATGCAGCAGAGTGACAGCAAATCTGACCGTCCCCCCTTGCACACTCGTGTGCAATGCAGCGAGGTGACA